AGAGGGCATATTTGAAAGAGAAATAGAATGAAAGAAAGAAAGAGAAAGAGAGTGAGTGAGAAAGTGTGTGGGACCTTTACTCTCTCTTTATTAAAATGAGCTTTGCTTCCTGAAAATGAGTCTGGATGTTACGAAGTTTTTTTATATAAATAAAGGGAGTATTTGAAAGAGAAAGAGAGAGAGAGAATGAGTGAGTGAGTGAGTGAGTGAGAAGAGAGAGAGAGAGAGAGAGAGAGAGAGAGAGAGTGAGTGAGTGAGAAAGAGTGAGGGACCTTTATTCTCTCTTTATTAAAATGAGTTTTGTTTCCTGAAAATGAGTTTGGATGTTACGAAGTTTTTTTGTATAAATAAAGGGAGTATTTGAAAGAGAAAGAGAGAGAGAGAATGAGTGTGAAAGAGAGAGAGAGAGAGAGAGAGAGAGAGAGAGTGAGTGAGTGAGAAAGAGTGAGGGACCTTTATTCTCTCTTTATTACAATGAGCTTTGCTTCCTGAAAATGAGTCTGGATGTTACGAAATTTTTTTTATATAAATAAAGGGAGTATTTGAAAGAGAAAGAGAAAGAGAGAGAGATTGAGTGTATATGAGTGAGAGAGAAAGAAAGAACGAGAGAATTTTACATATTGGCTTATGAAGGTAGCCAAACCGTAAAAATATAATATTTTTATTTAAAAATACTACTTAGGTGTCTCATGTTATAATGTAGGGTGGAATACGTTAAATTTTTTAAGACGATACGGCTTTTATAAGACCTGAAATAGTTGTAATATAATCTGGATCCAATTGGTAAATGATGTTTAAATAATTTGTCAAATGACACTCAAATTTTATTTCTTAAATGATTAGTGATTTGATTAAATTACAGTTTTTTATGAAACAGTTATTAGAATGTTAAAAAAAGGAATAATGTATTGTTTGAAATATTTTAATAAATGTTATAGAAGTAATATAATAAATGCTATTAAATAATTTAACAATAATGCTATGATTGCACTGGTCGTATCTATATGCTCATGGAAATGGCTGGAAACGCGACGGTCCTTTGTTATTAATCAGGCTGTGAAATTGAACAGGCGTATCATCAACCAGTTGATGTCGCTAAGTGCGAAGCCGAACCATTCTTGCAGTTCTGCAAGAATACAACAGCCCCCAAGGAGTTGTTTGCCATTGTCCGTACGATTCCGCCGATACAAAAGACAATGGGATACGGTTTAAACTTTGTAAGTTCAAGTCGAAACGGCCATAATCTCTTGTAATTAATTGGAAGCCGTTTAACCACCGAACAGACCCAATTACAGTTTTCTCAGTAGGCGAAACTAGCACAGACGGAACTATTTATTATAATTTTCTCCTGGTAATTTATAAGACTATGGACATCTGCTATAAATACCAAATAGTAAATCGAAAATTCTTGCCATAACAAATGTCCCAATAAAAAAATATAAGGGGGCAGAAGTTAAACACACCCTGTATAGTAAGGTTTTCCGTGTGGTATGAGAAGTGTTTAAGTTCCAATTTGAGTCATTTTGGTCTGGCCTACCTCGCTGGGTTGGTCGGTCACACGTGTCTTTATTTCGCCATCTTCAGTGAGATTTCTGTGAAGTGGTCTTTTTGATAAGGTGATAAGAGGAGGGAGGGGTTCGAATGTATCTTTGTCTGTTGGTGGATCAAGTCTGGTTTTTTTTTAGTTACTGTGAAGGAAAGGCTTGTCAAAATTCTAAATCAACCCCCCAACTTTTTAGCCTTCAAACAAATAAATAAAATTGAAAAAGGCAAAATTAAGTATACCTTAATGATAAGGGAAAGCTGGGAGTAAAGTATTTCTGTAAAGTGTTAGATTTTATTTTTATTTTCTAACGAGGGTTTGTAACAGCAGAGGTCATATATCAACCTTGAGGGTGCCGGTGTTTTTGAAAAAAAGCCCAGTTGTAAGTATGTCGGGTTCGAAGCAGAGCTGCTGGATTCGAACCCGGGAACTTTACCTTACAGTGATGAGCGCCGTGTCAACGCCTAAACCTTTGCGGCCACCGACGCCCCCCCGGGTTTGTTGTTTTGTTTATGGATTGTTCCTGTCTATTTTTGTAATATACAAATATGTAATATTAAATTTTAATAAAAGTATATTCAACAGTCATTATAATGAGTATATCTTCTAAATTTTCGTAAAATTGTAATGTAAATCATTGGATAGTTTTACTCTTTTTTTTTTGTGTGTAAAATTTACGTTATCATAGATTCTTTGAATCAAAGTCGACAAAGTCTAAAATTATAATGTAAATCATTGGATAGTTTTATTCTTTTTTTTTGTGTAAAATTTATGTTATCATAGATTCTTTGAATCAAAGTCGACGAAGTCTAACATTATAGTGTAAATCATTGGATAGTTTTACTCTTTTTTTTGTGTGTAAAATTTATGTTATCATAGATTCTTGTAATCAAATTCGACAAAGTGTCATATTAGTACAATAAAATATATAAATATTGTGAACACATTTTATACTATTTCAAACATTTGGTTACTTTCTTTCTTTCAACAATATATTTGGTAGGATCGGGGTTCAATGAATGTTCTGGTGTTGAATCTACGCCAAGTTTTCGTTGTTTTATTTCACCTTCCTCAGGGCTAGATTCTCTGTCAGTATTTCAAATTGTTTTCTCTTATCAACATGTATAAATTTATTTTCTCTCTTTTTGTCATTTCCTATAATAAATACGATGTTTTTTAATAAATAAATAAATGGCACTTTTTACAAACTATTATCACAGACCTATAGAACCACCTTAGTTTCATCATTTTTCACAGGTCTCTCTTTTCTTCTGTTCTCTATCCCTCTGACTCTCTGTCTCTCTATCACAATCTTTCTTCCTTTTCTTCTTTCTGTCTCTTCCTGTTTGTCTGTTTCTCCCTCCCTCCCTCTCACTCTCTCTCTCTCTCTCCCTTTTGCTCTCTCTTTATTATAAATAAAGCGAATTAGAGAATTAGACCACATTTCCCGATCCTACCAAATATATCGTTGAATAACAGCTGGTCGATCAACTCTATATCATTGATCACAAGGCTTTTCGTCTCTTCATCATAATAACATTCTTTCCTTCTGTATATCATTCAAACTCTCTTTCTCTCTCTCTATCTCTCTGTATATTTTTCTCTATTTCTCTCTTTTCCTCTGAAACTACATATATGACTGACTCTCGCTCACACTTACTCCTCTCTATCTGTCTATCTATAATATATATTTCTGTCTGTCTGCCTTATTCTTCCTATCTCTCTTTCTCTATCTCTTTATTATAAATAAAGCGTTTCAATTCAATTTTCTTTCTCTCAAACTCTTTCTTTCATGTATTGTCTTTTCCTTTCGCTTTGATACACCACCTTTATTTATATTAAACAACTTTCTAACTTCTGAACGAATATGTAGTCCCATTTTTAGAAAATAACAAGCTAATTTTTCTTAAAAAATAATGCATTTTTACGAAAAGAAAGTAGAAATTCCTATAAAAAATGTCAAAGTTGTGTCCTCCATTTATCGAAGATTAAATCAAATTGTATAAAGGTCTCTCTCTCTCACAATGTTTCTTTCTTCTCTTCTCTCTCTCTCTCTCTCTCTCTCTCTCTCTTTGCCTCTTTCTTTATCTTTCTGTATTATAAATAAAGCGTTTCAATTCAACAATTCAATTCAATTCTCTCTCTTTGTCTCACAATCTTGTTTTTCTTCTTTCTCTTTCTTTCTGCCTGTCTCTCCATCACAATCCTACTTTCTTTTCTTCTTTCTGTCCCTTCTTGTCTGTCTGTTTCCCTCTCTCTCTTTCTCTCTTTCTTTCAAATACCCTCTTTACTTAAATTAAACAACTGTCTAACTTCTAAACGAATAGACCCATTTTCAGTAAACAAAGCTAATTTTTCTTCAAAAATAATGCACTTTTACGAAAAGAAAGTAGACATTCATATTTAACATGTCCAAGTTGTATATCGAAGATTAAATCAAATTGAACCAACGTCTCTCTCTCTCCCTCTCTCTCTTTATCTCTCTCTGTCTCACCATCTTTCTTTTTTGCTTCTCTCTCTCTGACTATGCCCGCCTGTCTCTCTCTCTCACACAATCTTTCTTTTTCTTCTCGGCCTTCTCTCTTTTTTCCTTTGCTTCTCTCTCTATCTCTCTTTCTTATCTGCCTCTCTCTTTCTTTTCCCTCTATACCTCTCTCACTTTCTCTTTCTTTTCTCTTTACCTCTCTCACTTCCTATCTGTTCCCTGTCTTTGTTTCTATGTTCGATATGTACAAAGAATATATGTAATTCACATTATATAAAAACAACAAACAAAGGTTTGTTTTTCATATTTATTTTCATTCCAAAAAAATAAAAATAAAATCATGTATAAATTTATGGAATTCCTGATTTTTGTATCCTTTTAACCCTTTCTCTTGATCAAAATTCTCCTGAAAAATAAGCTACTACTTTAAAAATAAAATTACGATTCTCAGAATATGTCATTCCAGAGTATTATAGACCAGTGGATCAAATCAGAATCTATGTTGATAAAGAAGTGGGGTTCGGTAATTTTTGTCGACGATAATCAAAAAGTTTTCCACGATTGATTTAATTACAGACACTATAATTTAGATTTTTTGTCATATCGTTATAAATTTTAATTTTATTTACCTGTAAATTATTTGTGCTCGTTGAGTATGCATGATCATAAATTTAAAATAATTCACTAGTTTTCGTGATCCGCTTGACCAATTAATATCATTCAATTAATTAAGGTTTTTAGTTGAGAAAAAAAAGTCAGTGTCACGAGCGGGATTCGAATCCCAAAAAGGAGGGAAAATTCAAAAGGTTGACGATAGCTCAAGTGGTAGAGTAGCGGCGTATCAAGCAGAAGGTCGTGGGTTCGAATCCCGCTCGTGACACTGATTTTTTTATCTCAACTAAAAACCTGAATTAATCGAATTTAAAATAAATTTTAAAAATGGGGCTGGGGTGAAGGAAAATAGAGACGTCCTTTACAAATAAGTTTTCTTATATATTTCGGTATGTTCATTGCAACGGTACTCTGTACATAGGAAATATATATATTTATATATTTATATGATATAGATAAATTTTCATCTGATATCTCTTTCACAACTTATTTCTATAATAATTCTTCCAAAACAAAATAAAAAAGAAATAACATAAAAAGTAAAAAGGAAACATGAATTCGGTGGTTCATTTATACGGTGAGAAATAGCAAAGTTTTGTACAATATTAAAACAATATAGGTATTTTTTTTAAATATATTGTCTACTTTTTTCTTACAAGTACAATAGATCTCAATGGACACGATAAATTTATTTTAATATACAATGAGCAAACAATTTGTGTTCCATCATAGACTGGATTTTTTTGAAAACTATGAACTTCGTTTTTTTTCTTTGAAAATTTAAATTTTTCGCAAATCTTCGGGATCAGATCTGACTATCAATGTATATAAAAAAAACACGTTACATGAGAAATCGCGAATAAACCAAACCAAACAATTTACAATCAGTCTTCGATTAACTTACCATCTCTTAATTTAATCAAGTAATATGATTAGACTCAAAATTAAAAAATATTCCTGAGAGTGTGGAATTTTTCTTTTGTGCCGTTCATACGATTTCCGGGGTAAAAAATATACTTTTTAACAAAATATATTATGCAACGCCTGATAAACTCACTAACAAATTAAGGACTGGTAACTACAAATCATAATATAGAAGCTTATCAACTATTCAATATAAATATATTTGATATAAAATGTACAATTTTTTTTTTGTATTTTTTTGTTTATTGTAAATGAACACTTTTATGACAAAAACAGTAAACTCGCCTTAAGGCTTTTAGCTTAACAGAAAACATGAGCAAAATTTATATACAATGGGGAAAAAAACTACGGGAATCGTAGCCTGAATATTTTCTTTTATTTAAATTCAACCCTTTACGAAAATATTGAGATTACAGTTCCCGCGAAATAGACGGGAACAAGTTAAACTACTTTTAATTGTACACTATCTACATATTTATGTATATATTTATATAGTATTTTTTGTTTTATTTACACGACACCTAATACCCGGTTGTAGGCCCTATAAACACATGTACCATGTACGAAAATGCAGCTCGTTGACGTATCGAAACCGTCTAACTCGACCCTTAAGTACATCTCGTGAAAGGTCTTGGTAACTGGAGGAGGCGGCGCATTTTTTCGTTTAACAGTTAATTTGTTTTGTCGACTAGAGGGCCTAGGAAGCGAGGTGCCTCCAAAAGCTGTGTCACATGGTGTTCATGGTGTAAGGCCAGTTGAAGTTGTTGCCGGAAAGGAGCATGTCGCGGATGAGGGTCTCGATGGGCGTCTTGCCGACGAGTCGGACGAAGAATAGCTGTTCGATGACCTGCGAACTGACCGTCCTGAGCGAGGGGAGCCGCAGAAGCAGTTTTCCGAATCTGGTCGGCTGGTTTGGGTATTGGGTGCGGCAGTATTCCTCAAGTGCGCATTGCGACTTCTCCTGAAGGGATTCGATGTGGGCGACGTCTGACAACCCGCAGGCATCTGTAACAAAAACACATAAAAAATTTAATAAATTGTAAGGTTGGCGGTCTGCAGAGTGATGAACCTTAGTTTGGCTATTTTCGATCCTTTAGGTCAGACAAAACTGCGAGGATAGGCAGACAATATGGACAAAACTACATTTTAAAAAGTTAAAACACCACCAAGCAACTAGTTGTATAAATATTTAAAAAATACGCGTAAAAAATTAAAGGAATTTTCTTTATAAATATTACAAATATAAGTGAATTAATGAAAATCGTATGCATCTGAAGTTATTGTGTATATCTAATATACTTAAAATTCTAAAGATTTTTTGTGTATATCTCATATACATAAAAAATCCTAAAGATTTTTTGTATAACTCTTATGCATACGATTCCAAGGATTTTTTTTGTGTATATCTCATATACATAAAAATCCTAAAGATTTTTTGTGTATATCTCATATACATAAATTTGTAAAGATTTTTTGTGTATATCTCATATACATAAATTTATAGCGATTTTTTGTGTATATCTCATATACATAAATTTCTAAGGATTTTTTGTGTATATCTCATATACATAAATTTCTAAAGATTTTTGGTGTATATCTCATATATATAAAATTCTAAAGATTTTTTGTGTATATCTCATATACATAAAAATCCTAAAGATTTGTTGTGTTTATATCTCATATACATACATTTCTAACGATTTTTTTGTGTATATCTCATATACATAAATTTCTAACGATTTTTTGTGTATATCTCACATACATAAATTTCTAAAGATTTTTGTGTATATCTCATATACATAAAAAGTCCTAAAGATTTTTTTGTTTATATCTCATTTACATAAATTTCTAAAGATGTTTTGTGTATATCTTATATACATAAAATTCTAAAGATTTTTTGTGTATATCTCATACACATAAATTTCAAAGATTTTTTGTGTTTATATTATAAGATATACACAAAAAGTCTAGAATTTTATGTATATGAGATATACACAAAAAATCTTTAGAATTTTATGTACATAAGATATACACAAAAATCTTTAGAAATTTATGTATACGAGATATACACATAGAATTCTAAAGAGTTTTGTGTATATCTCATATACATAAAATTCTAAAGATTTTTTGTGTATATCTAATATACATAAAATTCTAGTTTTTTTTAAGTATATCTCATATACATAAATTTCTAGATTTTTGTGTATATCTCATATACATACAATTCTGAAGATTTTTTGTGTATATCTCATATACATAAAATTCTAAAGATTTTTTGTGTATATCTCATATGCATAAATTTCTAGATTTTTGTGTATATCTCATATACATAAAATTCTGAAGCTTTTTTGTGTATCTCATATAAAAAAATTCTAAATTTTTTTTATGTATATCTGGTATAAATAAAATTCTAAAGATTTCTTGGAATTGTTGCAATAAAAGTTGAAAAAGTTAAATTAGAAACAAAAATGCGTCCCAAAATATTTTCTCACTTACTAAGAAAATTTCTTAAAAAGCTATGTGCATTAACTAAATTTAACTGATTTTTTAACTAATTTAACTCAGTAATTATTCCCGGATGTTTTCCAATTTGAAAATCGTTTCACATTTATAACGTAAATAAAATAAATGATCGTTGCCGACTTATAATCGAAGCTGATTTTAAAACGGTTAATTTATCTAGACACTTCCGTTTTTTACCGATGTGAAATAGTCGTAAAACGAGAAGTAGTAGTTTTTCTTTCAATTTTTCCAAAATACCTTATCTAGCCTCTCCGAGGAATTAGAAGGCAAAATGTGTATATTGACTAATCAATGGTGGCATTGAGGGAGAAACCGCAAAGCTGTAATCCCGCGTATAGCTCACAGGATGCCCATTTCAAGACGCAAGGTTGTAAGACGGCCTTAAAAAAAGCTCAACTATATTTAGAAAAAATTACGTTTTGGTTCTGAAAAAGCTCAACATGATTTAGAAAAAGTACACTTTGTTTTAGAAAAAAAATCAATTTGATTTAGAAAATGGTCATGTCAGTTTAGAAAAATCAATTTGATTTAAATAAAGTACACTTTGACATTGAAAAAGTTCAATTTACTTTGGGAAAAATCCACTTTGATTTAGAAAAGCTACCCTTTGGTATAGAAAAAGCTCAATATGATTATACATAATGTACATTTTGGTTTAGAAAAACTCCATTTAATTTAGAAAATGATCTTGTTCGTTTATTAAAAGTTCAATTTGATTTATAAAAGTACATTTGGTTTAGAAAAAACTCAATTTGATTTAGAAAATTGTCAAAACATTACAAAAATTCAATTTGATTTAGAAAATGGTCACGTCGGTTTATAAAAAAACTCAATTTAGTTTAAAAAAGGACCCTTTTTTTTAGAAAAACTCAATTTAAAAAAATTAATTAAGAAAATGGTCATGTGGATTTAAAAAAGCTCAATTTATTATAAAAAACGTACCTGTTTTTTATAAAAACTCAATTTCAAGAAATTGATTAAGAAAATGGTCATGAGGATTTATGAAAAGGTCAATCTGATTTAGAAAACGATCGTGTCGGTTTATAAAATGCTCAATTTGATTTTCATAAAGAAAATGTATTTGAGAAAAACTCAATTTGATTTAGAAAATGATCTTGCCGGTTTATAAAATGCTCATTTTAATTTACAAAAAGTACACTTATTTGAGACAAACTCAATTTGATTTAGATAAAGTATATTTTGTTTTAGAAAAAATACAATTTCGTTTACAAAATTGTACACTTTGTTTTAGACAAAACTCAATTTGATTTAGAAAAATTACCTTTTGGTTTATAAAAAGCCCGATTTTGTTTAGAAAAAGTACAGTTTGATTTTGAAAAAGCTCAAATTGATTTCTGAAATGTACGCTGGCTAAGAAAAAAAAAGTTTTGATTTTGATAAGATACATTTTCATTTACAAAAAAAATTGATTTAAAAAATGGTCACTTTCGTTTAGAAAAAGCTCAATTCGATTTAGAAAATGAATATTTTGATTAAAAGAAAATTCGATTTCCTTGGGGAAACGTTCAGGGCGATAAGACGAAAAGTTGTAAAAACGAAGTTCGCAAATTGGAATGGTGTAACTAAAATGAGAGGAGAACTTATCTGGTGGTTCAGTGTTAAGCTTCATGTTTAATTAAGCGATTTGGGGGAGATCGGCGGACAACGTTGAGGTCCCTGAATCGCACAATTTCCAGTTTGATTAGTAGCCGTGCCTCGTCACTGTTTTCGTCTTCCCATAAACGGCCGGCACCTCATCAGCCGGGCGATATGCTTTGTCAGCGAATCATTAACCGCATCAGACAATCCATCCTTGATCCATCATCTCGAATAACAGGTAGGGAAAAAACGAAGGAGAAACGCAATCAGTCCATAATCGCGGATTTCTACCAGGAACCGCTTCCGGACGGTGGGCGTCCTGGATGTGGACAGTTCTCACGACCCTCCGGACCGTTCTAATTGGCCAAAAAGGCCCGTTTCTAATCGGTAATACCCCACCGACAATGGCCGCTTTAAACCTGGATTTGCATCATATTCCAGATTGCCTCTGGACAACGGACGAACGTCCCAAACGGCGTCAAAAGTCGGTCAACAAAAGAGCAACTCTTGGAAACAAAATCTGACAGTAAGCAAATGTCAATATCAACCAGCAAACTTATTGAAAGGAAAACTTGAAATCGGGTCGAACTCTAAAACACACTTCGAAATTTACACTTAAGATTTTTGTGTTTTGTGTAAGCTGGCCTAAATAAAAATGAAAGAGTAAAATAATTCAACTAGTAGTATAACACAGAAACATAAAAATAAATTTCAATTAATTACGGTTTTTAGTTGATATAAAAAAGTCAGTGTCACGAGCGGGATTCGAACCCACGACCTTCGACTTGATACGCCGCTACTCTACCACTAAGCTATCGTGACTTCGATCCACTCGGCCACCAACTCCCCATCTCACGATAGCTCAGTGGTAGAGTAGCGGCGTATCAAGCAGAAGGTCGTGGGTTCGAATCCCGCTCGTGACACTGACTTTTTTATCTCAACTAAAAACCGTAATTAATTGAAAGATATTAATTAGTCAAGCGGACCACGAAAACTAGATAATTTAATAAAAATAAAGTTGAGGTAAACACAACTGCAGTAGTGAACAGCCCAAATCAATTTAACTTTGATGAAACTATCAGAAAAAGCATAAAATAATATTCAACAACTCCTAGTCTCTAATCAATGATACTGAAAATGATAGTTTTCAACAATCAAAGAAAAATATGTTTTATTCAGAAGTAGTGCTTAAAAACTATAGTTTAGTTAACAAATAAATAACTAGCGAATTTAGTTGGATTTTTATGTTCTATGTTCTGAAGCACATGAAACAAATGAAATCTTGTAGAATGTAAAAACACCTAAAAAAATGCTGAAATCACCTATGCACTCATATTTATCCAAGCAAAGGTCTTAGGGAAAGCATGTTTTAAAACGTTTTCTCCAATTAATTTTAATTGCGTTGGTATGAGTTTAAGTCGTTTAGTATGTCATTAAAACGTGTGTTAACTGCTCGTGGGTTGAAGGTGTGAAGAATGAGGTTCATGCCCGCGTGGACGGTGGTCGTTCCTGACCTATTGTGGCAAAAATGACTTGTGCGATAAAAAATAAGCACGGCCTAAGTGTTCCTTGTTGTATTGGCTGTATAAGTCGTGCCTCGTGTCTGTCATGTCATTATTAATTTATGTAATCCGTCCGGTTTGTGCAACCCGGGTCTCCCGCTAATGGAGAGACTGTCGGGCAATATATCACCGGACGATTTGATTGCGGGCGCGGGTGAGTCGGCACTCACGCCAATCATATCGAAAGTGAGATTTAAAAGAAAAATTTACACTTTAGACAATTACAAAATAAACAATAACATAACGGGGAACGTGTCGGGTCAGTGGCATTCAAGGGATACGGTGGAGAAGAATTGCCAAATTGGTACCATGATGCGCGCT